AGGTTCTAAAGTTATTCTAATGCATCATAAAATACACAGACAACAGGTTTCACACTATTACTGAAAAGAAATCTGCAGAGAACAAGAAGCCATTTTCAGTACAGTTATGAGCCAGTTTTTCTTTTGGAGGAATTTTTCCTCCTGTTTCTATGCAATGTTGCTTCACTTGATGAAGGTTTTCCAATATTCATTACTAAAGATTTCTCTGAAAGCGTCACATCAGGATTTCAGGCAGGTTTGGATTTGATTGAGAAATTTGAGCACCAGTTCTTTTCTCCTTCAGCCATTCTGTTGCAGATTAGCCTCCGTGTTTGAGGTTCATTGTCTTGTTAATGAGCCGCTGTGGACTGAGGTTCAGCTGTCGGACAGATGGCATTACATTAGACTCTTGAACACGGCAGTTTTCTGTAGAGTTTGTGACGGATTTGGTGACAGCTTCACCCTTTGACATCTTTACTCTTAAGGTCTTTGTGCCGGTTTTTGCTTTTTTTTTTGTTCTTTATACATTATAACCAAATATCTTTCATCCCAATTATTGTCTGTATACTTAACAGAAAAAATCTTAAAAAAAGAAAAAAATTAAGTTGTTAATATTCATGAATGTTCAGCTAACTTTTGTGTTTTTCTTGTAAAATATGGGAAAACCAACTTTTGGAGTTGGCTTTTTAGTTGGAGGCTTAATGTTTGTTTAATGTTTACTTTTAACAATACAGATTGCTGCTAAAGAGATGCTGCAATCACAATAATACTTTATGTTCTTTACAATGATAAAGCCTTTCATTGAATTCTTTTTTTTAAATTGATCTATAGTTAGCTTACCTGTTTCAGCCTTGTTTTGTCTAAATATTACAGGTTGGAACTACTGTGGGGTGACCTACTGCTTAATGAGCAGAGTATTTTTATTTTATTTTTTTCTGAGCAATGGTAAAGGACGGAGGTTCAAACCTTAGACTGCTGCTTTCTCTAAAACAAAAAAGGGGTTATAGGTAAAAAGCGTAGATGATAAATTATTCCAGGGAAAGACAGTTGTTAATAGAAATGATTATTCTGCCAGAGGTTTCTTCCCAACGGTGAGTTTTCCTCTCCACTGTCACTCCATGCTTGCTCACCATGGATAGGTTCTCTAAATCTGTGTTATCAAACTGGACTTCCATCTTCCAGATCCCCGAGTGAAGCTCTAGTATCAGCTCATGCAGTCCACTACATCTCCTCATAAAGTTCAGCAGACCGTCTCTCTAACCAGCAGCCTACAGACTGACCAACTTCATCTATCTCCACTCCACCACTATTTAGGCAGAGCTGAAAGGCTGTAGGAAAGCAAGGCGGCAACACATCTGAACCATTTACACCAGTGATTTTGTAGAAGGATGCTTGGCCCGAAAAAAAAAAAAAAGAAACGTTTATAAGGAACTACTGATTTAAAGAAATTTATGCGAACTTCAGAAAGCTAAAAAAATCTCAAAAACATATATTTCTTTACTTATTCTGACATTTATTACATTGATTTGACATTCGCAGGATGAACTACCCTAAAAGAGGAAACGTTTAGTAACAAAAAAGGCTTTTAATAAAGTTAATTGACTATCTGGCTTCAGTTCCATCTTTCAATCAGAAATCATGAATTCAGTTTTATCTATAGCTTCTCCTTGGATAGTTCTCATGTTTCTATGCGTTTGTTTGGCCATTTAGGATTAGAAATGTTTGTTTTTTCACTACAGCATGACATGATCTGATTTATTCTGTTTAAAAAAAAAGCTTCTTCGGCAGATTTTTTTTCACTAGTTGAATCTGCAATAATCTCTGACTTGCCATTAAGTTTGAAGCACTGTGGCATCCTGAATGAACAGCTTTAGAAGGGTTTTACACACAGCATGAAGACAAATGCTGTCAGAAATTATTATTAATAGGAGCGCCACTTTAATGGCAGTTGCTGCAACACTTCAAAACACTCATAAGTCAATATTTAGTGGCTCTTGAAACTGCTCATCCATTTAGGATTAGTTGTTGGGGCTGACAGATAAATGCGCAGATGACAGCCTAATCCCTAAACACTGAGGTTATGTTAAACCTATCAGAGAAGCTTCCGTTTTTATCCATCGACTTTAGACTTATCCTCAAGGCAAAACGCTGCTTATTAGGTCTTCTAAGTCACTCTGTGTATCCACTGTTGACAAAGTGAATTGAGCGATTAAGCTGAAGCTCCAAAGAGAACCAGTGGGCCAGTAAAGCTCTGGTCCACTCCTCCACCCCCCCACCTCAAAAAAAGAAAAAAAAAAAAAACATGCAAATTTGCTCAACAAGCTAAAACCTGCAGTGTGGAAGTTTAACGCTGACTATGTTCTCTACAAAATAGACAAAATATAAAAGTTTGCTTTCATCTTGGGTTGAAATCTAAGCAGCTCTTCTTACCAACTTCATACATTTACACCCATGTACCCTGAAGAGTTCCTTTCAGTCCTAAAGTAACCAAAATTAGAGCAGCTCTGCATCCAGTTGTGAGGACCAATCCTAGGGCGCTTTGGGAGAGATCATGCTGCAGTGTCATTTCGTCCTTGGGCGACTAGCTTGCATATAACCCCCCAACCCCACCCTCATAAACCCTTGCACAAATCACAAAACCCCCCACAGATGTTCTCTGTGTTTTCTCTTTGTTGTGACCTCAATAAAAACATGTACAGGGATGTTGTTGTGCATTGATTTAGAAGTATCTCCTAAAGTTACAGGCTTTATGAGGAAATCTGTCTTGCATGCAGTTCCATAGTAGGAGGGTAAGCTATTTGTTTACAGTGGCGATATAACCAGCCTCATCCTGACAACATGAAATAAGGGAGTTGGAGTTGCATTCCTTTTTTCCGCGTTTCGTGTGCATAGTCTGGAAGAAAAAGCAGAACTTTATGTCCGATAGTGACTTTAAAACATGAAAACGATAGCTGCCATGTTGAGAACTGTCATCATTGGGTCTGACATTTAAAAGAACTGATTTAGGACAATTAAAATAGACAAGTTTCCCATGTAAGATCTCGACTGAGTGAGTAAAAAGAGGAAACTGGATGGAATTTGGGCCGCAGTCGACTCTTTGACCTTTGAACTGCATCACTCCTTGTCTTTGAAGTCCATACAGGGAATCATAAGCAGCACAGTGAGTGTTGCCTTGAATGTTCAGCCTGCACTTTGTAAACAGAATCAGAGCTTCTTTGAGTGTGTTTGGCAGAGCTGTGGGTGTAGCTCTGCTAAAGTCCATCATCTGGACTCGGTTTCAACCTTGTTTTGTCTAAACTCACCCACGCACTGTGGACTATTTGGGTTAGTGAAGCAGGACCATCTCAACAAACCAACGCTTCAATTCAAATTGTCTGTTAAAACCCTTTTCTGGTGATTCACTCTTCTTTTATCCCTCATACCCAATAAGTGTCGCTGTTTCTGGAAGAGTCCAGGCTGGGCAGCGTTCACAGCTCCCACCCTGGCTATAAAAGGAAGCTGTCAAGAATTTCTGCTGCATTTCACTCCTGTCTTTGAGTCTGTTTTTATAACTCCAGTTTGGAGGACATACTTCTGTTTGTAGTCATTTGTGGAAACCTGCCTCCTCCTGAGAGGAGAACAAGCCTCTTAAGCTTTGAGTTGAGAGCTTGGTTAACGGAGAGGAAGATCAACTTTATGGCCATGGCTAAGTTTTCCAGGGAATTTACTGAAGTCAGCGTAATGTCCTCTGAAGTGATGGAGACATTTAGAGCATAAGTCTTGGTGGGAAGCGCTCCACCCTCTCAGGGATTTAGAGGATTGTCACCTCTACTAAACGTCTCACTCTGTCGCCCTGCCAAGCTGTCACCTGCTCCAGTTTGTCACCACCACAAAACTAAACCAAGAGCATTAAAAACCACAAAATGACACATCAGCGATTCTTATGTGCACAAGTAAAAAAAAAAAAAAAAGATTTATTCAATACATTAAAACTTAAAGTAACATTAGATGGTGCCATCAGCATTTTTAATCATAAATCGATGCTTACAAATGGAACTGTGGCATAAATAATGATGAGTTTGAAGTCGGCACATAAACACCTTGTAGAAATCCATCTATTCCTGTTTTACTGCTGCTGGTTAAAATGTCTGCTACTGTAAGAATAAAGCAGATATGAGGTGAACAAATCCAAAAAGGTCATAAGGTTGAAAATGACGTTACATATTTATAATTAACTTTACAAAACAGAAAAATATTACAATCTATAAACCAAGGTTATAATTAGCTTACTGAGGTTATGATCAGCCACCTATAGTCAATTTTATGCAGAAAAAAAAAGAAATGCACATGCACAACCCTGTACCCGCTCCAGAAAAGGAATGCCTATTAAACGTGTGCAAGAGCGTGCACCAGCCCATTTCTCCTTGTGCACGCTTTGTTTAAAAGTTGCTGTCTGCATCGCTCATCAGAGCTTACTTTCCAAAAGACTAACCACCAGTAAGTGAAAATGGGGATGAGTACGTCATTCTTGTGATAAGTCCATTACATACATATAACCAGAATGATTGACAATTAGGAGGACCACTTATTTTGATGATCCACCCGGAAATAGAACTTCCTCCACTATAAGAAAGCATGTTTCATGGTGAAATTAAGAAAGGTGAGCTTTTCTAAGCTAACATTTTCTTTGTCATGCCTTTAATTATCTGGCCTTTTTGTCCCAGTAGTATTGAAAATGGTATTGAATGTTAAATATTTTCCTATACGGTATATTGGTATTGAATTTGATATTTTAGTATCAGTAGACATCCCCTTATTTAGTTGAAAGGAGCTTATAGCTGATTCCAACTGATCCACTGCAAATAGACTTTTGATAGATGAGCAAGTTTTGAGTTTGTTACTCTAAGTTTGTGTCTTAATGTTAGACACAACGTTAACATTTATCTGAACTCTTAAAAACACTGAAACATTGTTTTCCATATTTAGACTCTTTTGATATAATATCTCACAGTCTCATTAAAGCTATGTTACATTTAAAGTTTAGAAAATGATATATAAAATCTGGTCCAAATACTCAGATTAATAATTTGAGCTGTCTGTTGTTTTGTTTTGTTTTCAGACACCTTAAAGATGTAATCCTGCTCACCGCCATAGTGCAGGTGCTTAGCACCATCTCTTCTTATTTCTGGTACCTTTGGTGGTTGGTAAGAGCTTTTTTTTCCTTCTTTCATCTCTGATACTTTATTTCTTCTTCTCCTGACATGTCCTGTGCTTTGTGCGTGTTTCAGGCCCCCGCTCGTGCCCTGCACCTGCTTTGGGTGAATTTTCTGGGCCCCTGGTTTATGGCAGAGAATCCTTCAGCACCGGAGGAGGTGAATGAGAAAAAGCAGAAAAGACAAGAGCGTAGACAGATGAAGCGATACTGATGCTGCAGAGCGCACTGAGCAGTATTTTTATACACACACAATCTAATATACAGGAGGAGGGCAACCCGTAAGTTATTCAGGAGGAAATTTTTGGTTATTGAGTTAAATCTGGTTGAAATCAGATCCAGTGAAATCCTGTCATTCATGTTTGTTTTCTTTCTGCTTTCATGCTGTAATCTAATGTTCTCCCTAAATTATGAAATGAAATGTTCCCTGTTTAGATGATGGCTCGCTCTAAATCCCATTTGTCTTCATGACAAAATGTGAGGGTTTAGCTTTTGCAGAATGCCTTCCCCGCTACATATTTCTTTTTTTTTTTTTCTTCCACGCCATTGTCCAAAACAGGTTTGTAACGTCATATCTTTTATTATAATTTTCTCAGCTCCACACTGTGTCCGGATGTTTCAGAATCTAAATCAAAGCCTTAATGAGAAAATGGGAACAACTTTGCAATAAAATTCTTCCTCTGTGTGTGCTGAGTTGTTATTTGACTGAATAGATGTTTTTGCAATGACTGAGCTGTGTTTTCTAATGACTCAACAGTGACATATAAAGTTTATGGCTTTGGTTGGTTAAGTTTCCAGTTTTTGGACTAATTTCCTGAGCGGTTATTAAATGTAATGAAGATTATCATGAGTAAAAAAGTAAAACTTCACTGGTGTGTTATATATAGTTAGCAACATTTACTACAAAGCTTTTGGAAAAGTGTAATTAAGACATGTTCTTACTGCCGTCAATGTTTTTTTAAAATTGCTTATTAATTTTTACGTTTTCTTTATTATGAATTTTCTAAATCTTTAAACTCCCAATATTTTTGTCTTGTTTTTTTTNAAATGGCTGGTTTCCTTAGCAACAGTCATTAAGGATTTTCCTTAGCCAGGACTGCAAAACTAGTCATATGGACGAAAAAATAAATAGATTAAAAAGATCAATAGAGATTTAAAAATGAAGCTTGTGTTTTATTTCAAAGACTGGTTGTTCCTTGCGTCTGTGTGAGATTTACATTTATTTTAAGTACACAAATAATTTAGATGTCTTTGAAAGTAAGTGGGGTATGAACCATATTTTATGTTTGGTGGAAAAAAAATCTTCAACTTTCCGTTTTTAATGTTTATTATTCACTGTTTGTTCGTTTTTTGTTTTTTTTTCCAACTGTTGAAGTGTTAAATTTCTTTCTTCTTTAATATATATATTTTTTCAAAATTCAGATTAGAGATCATCCACTGCAATCCTCTTCTCACGTCCTGCCATCTCACAGTTTCATCTCATTGACAAATGACTAAAAAGCATCATCAGCCCACCAGCTTTCAGCAATCCTCTGATATGATCCACCCATTTAGACAAATTTAACTTTTCCTCCGTGAGGATCAGGAACTGATATTTGCTTCAAATCACCACACAACAATCCTCCATTAATTTTTTTGCAGTTGTTGTTGTTTTGGTTGGTTGTTATTTTTTGTGGTAAAAAAAATAAAAACAACTCAGTGAGTGACTACAGGCATTCGTTTTCTGAGTGGCGCCAGAGTCTGCATGACTCCGGCTGAACCAGGATCAGTGACGGACAGTCTCCATCACAGTGGGTTCCCTTCCTTTTCCTTTGTTTTTGACCCGCTTCCTTCCACGTTTTCTTCAGTTCTGTTCCCCCCTATTGAAGTCTAAACAAACTACAATGCTGTGAAAGTAAACAAATGCACAAATATCATGTCACACAGCGTTGGCCCTCACCCAAGTGGGACCTGGTTTATGAGGATCCTAAAAGGTGCATGATTCTGATACATAAGACGGAAGTTAAAACATGACATTGGGATATTATGTATGAATGTGGTACGTGACTGAGTTGCAGTAACATATGAGAGTGTGTTTCTGTTATTGATCCAGCGTTGAATACAAATCCAAAAGCAACAAAGTGTATGCTTCATCAAACAGCACTGAGATTATACTTTTATGTGACTATTAAGAGTTTAAATTGCCACAAATAAATGTTTACTTCAGACCAGTGAATGCTACATTCGTTTTTTTTTGTGTGCAAAAATATGATTATTTTTCATTTTATTTTTTTTATTATTTATATATTTTATATTCTTATTTTATCTCTTTGTTCTATAATATCATAGTGACCTTTAGAGGAACGTAGAAGGAAGGAAAAATAAAGTTAAGAATGAAAAAAAACTTTCTCTGAATATATTAAATGACATTATGTAACCAAATAATGGTTAATATATATATATATATATATATATATATATATATATATATACATACATACACACACACACACAATGTAGCTAACCACCATCAGTGTGTGAGTGTGTGCATGAATGGTTGAATGACTGAATGTAGTGTATAGCATTTTCATCAAGTATTACGATTGGAAAAAGTGCTATATAACTACAGGCTGTACTCGAGTTGAGGGGGGAGAGCATCCGCCTTCTTAAAAAAAATCTTAAAAATCATCCCCCTTCTTAAATGACCAGCCCCCCATACCATACCTTGTGACATTTTATTACTGAATGTGTATAATTTCTACTAAATATTAACAGTAATGACAATAATATTGCCCTTTCAACATTTGGCGGACTGTTGGCTTTTGAGTATCCTGAGCAAAATAAATAAACTCAAAGAAGTGTTCTACCATGACTATGAAACTGATCCCAGTGGGAATAATGTCCTCTGCGTTTGTCCCTAACTATGTAGGGGCAGTGATAGCCATGCCAGTCAAGAGACTGACTGTAGATCTACTGTAAGGTGCCTTGGTAAAGCTCAATGACTGACTTGACATGTAAAAACCATAGCATGTATATTGCTTTAGGTTAATAGACTATATTAATTAGGCTATGTATGCTTCCAAAAAAAAACAAAAAAGAAATTCCCTAGACTACGGAGTACAGGCCATTTACCATTTACCATGTTAAGAAGAAAATGTCAGTAAAATAATGGAAAACCTATGCCAGGGCAGAAGGTGGTGGTAATGTTACTGGAATAAAAACACAATGCAAAAATTTTACAGCAAAGCCAGAAATGGTGGTCTTTGCTTCTGAAATGGCATTCTTAATTAATTCTTAATTTAATGCCTGCTGCCTGTAAGAGCTTAGGAATAAAATGTTCAAGTAATGAATTTATTAGCTTTGATCATGAAAAGAGATTTAGTATTTTACAAAATTATGTAAAACTAAACAAAATATTAAGTGATATGCATCTTCTGGTGTTTCAAAGCATTACATAATAAGAAACATTTGTTGGAATAAGCACTTTAAAATGCACCTTTTGAGTTATAGAGCCTAAAAAAATTAATAGTTGCAGTGGGTAAGATTATAGTATACTGTTTTT